GGGAAACCCATATTGTGTATTTTGTATATTAGTGCATCCAGTCATACACGGTCAAAAGCTTTAGCTATGTCTAGGAAGACTTCCCCTGTGATCTTATTGGTTTGGAATTCTTCGGTGATCATCTCAACTACTCTATAGATTTGGTTGGTTGTGGAGAGGTTTTTCTAAAGCCGAATTGGTAAGGTATAATGATGTTGTTATCGTCTAGGTACGTATTTGTACTCTTGAGTAGAACAGCTTTGACAATTTTGCTGACAGACGACAGAAGAATTGTTGGTCTGTATGACTTTTGTGCTGCAGCACGCTTCTTGGGCTTAAGGATCGGAGTGATGGCGGCTAATTTCCAGATGTTCAAGAAGTATTGCCGTTCTAGAATCAGGTTGATGATTTTGGTGAAGACGAACGCTGCTTTTAATGGGAAGTTCTTTAGCATGGTGTTAGTAATCTTGTTAAAGCCAGGGCTCTTATTCTTTCTCAGTTTTTTGATATAGCTAAAGACTTCCGACGGTAAGACTGGAATAATGTTGCCTGCGTATGGATTTGATATGTAAATGGAATGGAAGTTGGCAACTATGTGTTCTGTTGTTGTGCCATGAATGTTGTTTGTGTGAAGAGAGAGATTCCAGATGCTGAGCTTAAAGTTTTGCTTTCTCAGTTTTTGCGCAGTGGATCCTTTGAGGCCTTTAAAGGGGTGGTATTTTATTGTAGCATTTCGTATACCTTCGTATAGCTCTCCACAGTGAGTTATCATCAGTGCACAGCGAGTTAAGGTAGTACGTCCAGTCCAGTTGTGGTTGCTCGTTAGTATGGAACTTGACTGCATTGTTCAGACGATTGAGTATCTATCTACGGGATTTCTTGTGCGCTGAAAATGCCTCCTTGTTGCCATTCGCTGCTTAATAAGTTGTTGTAGCTCCTTTGATCTGGCGCGTTTCTTGCGTGCCACATCTTTTTTGCATATTCATACATCTTTTTAATTGTTATCAGTAAACACCTTGATCAGACTTTCAATGTCATTCCTCGAATGTATCTTTGGAAGGGTGTAATGCATGTTGTTTAGAGCTTTAGCATATAATTGCCAGTCAGTTGTAAAGGCTCTGGTGTCTGGTGTGGTATAAATACTGATATCGAGAATTATACGAACCGGTTATGATCAGAAAAGAGTTCATCCAGCACAGAAATACCCGGCGGATCGCTGGTATTTCTGAGCAGGAAGAAATATACACGCTGATTCTAAATTGTTTTTACAAATTAAGAGGGGTGATAGTACTCATCCAGATGAGCAATAATTACCATAGAACATAGGGTCGCATTCCATTCTGAGAGGCAAAAGAGAGGACTTTTAGAATTCTAACCTGAACTTACAACAGTTTTGAGAGAGTGAATGAACCAGATCAAAAGTGTCCCTATCAGTTTAGTGAAAAACTCACAGAGAGTGCACTAAACGGATAAAACCGGAAACTTGGCGTTCGAGTGTTAATTCGAGCTTAGACTTTGATAGCAAACATTCAAATGCACATCTTTGGTTGGCAAGGTTTCTACCTCGAAAAAGATTACAACAAGTTAATTATCTAAATTATTAGAGGGAAATTATCTGTTAGAGAGAAAAACTGCTACCTTGATAGCAGTTTTTCTCCCTTCGCCATCTTATATCCTGTCCTTTTGGACTTTGAATGCTGCACTCATTGCTTGAAGAGCTCTTCTATGGGACACGAAGTTCTAACAGCGGGAACACAGCATGAACTCTTCATGCTAATCTCGGCATACAGAGGAAGTTGGAGTTAGTTGATAATATTCAGCCCTTGATTAGATAATTAATTTGTTTCAGTCGTTTACGAGGTTGAGTCCTTGCCAACCAACGATGTGCATTTGAGTGTTCTCCATCAAAGTCTGAACTCGAATTAACACTCGAACGGCAAGTTTTCGGTTATCCGACCAAGTTATCCGTTTTGTGCAAACTCCACAAAAATCCGTTTTGTGAGTTTTTAACAAACAGATTGTGAAACTTTTGTTCTCGTTCATTCACTCTCTCAACACTGTTGTAAGTTCAGGATGGAATTCTAATATTCCTCTTTTCTGCCTTTCAGAGTGGAATGCGATGTTCTATGGTAATTATTGCTCATCTGGATGAGTACTATCACCCCTCTTAATTTGTAAAAACAATTTAGAATCACTCTGTTCCCGTAGATTCAGCTGTATACCGTGTAGGGGTTTTTGGCCAAGTTAAATATTCTAAAGCAAGTCTCCTTCTTTCAAATGCCTAAAATAGTTTGATAAAATATGGTTAAACACGCCAACGCGAATTGTTTTGCCCCGAACGATATTTTACGGTGGCGAGAATGCAGCCTTTTGTAAGTATTCATGTATTTTATTTGCAGGAATATTAATTAGGTTTTTCTTTCATCATATATGTAGCACTTGTTTCATATTTAACGAATAGTAATAAAATAAATGGTAATTGAATGTTGGAATTCTTCTGCTATTTTGGCTCCAGTTTCCTCTAACTGTTCTTTCACTTTCTCTTTCATGTCTTCTAATTTAGCTTCGGTTTCCTCTCTAAGCTCCACGATGTCACTTTTAATCTTGTTTTGCTCCACTCAATCTGTTAGAGTTTCTCATGCAGCTTTTTCTCTTGTCCGGCGTTTATCTCTTCTTGACCCGATTTCAACCTCTTCTTATCCGGCTTTTACAGCTGCTACGAAGTCCATCAAAGTCCTCATTTCCTCCGCCATGGCTTTCTCCTGTACGCGGGTCACTGGCAAATCCTACTTCTGACATGAGTTGTTGCGTTCTAGAATGTTCTCGCTGCGTCTATGGCATATCGCTAATTTTGTCACCAAATGTGCGATTTCGAGCCAAATCTGACAAACCTGCCTTTCCCTGTCACTTTTTGGTAACCCTAACCCCGCTTTGCGGGGAAGCTATCTTATCGCAGCTGTGCATTTCTCTACAGTATTTTATTTTTAATTAAGGAATTGACTAATACATGAACTTCTTGTGGGTATTTAACTTCCGTACAAATAGTCTTGATTCTAAGTAGTTGATTGTGGATAGTGTTACCTAAGACTTTTCTAGAGATATCAGAGTACGAGTTATTTAATTTAGTTGTATCAAAATTGTGTCCCTCCTTTTGTCATGCATTTTATTTATTTATTTTTTTGTAATCAGTAGTTTTCAAATCAGAAACTTAATATATTTGTGAGTGGCGGTAGAAAAAATAAAGAACCCTGAAGGAAATCCAATAGTAACCGGCATACATTTGAGTGAAGTATTAGTTCGCTTCAATTCAACGAACCGAATAAGTTGTATTATTTAGTTACCTTCTTGTATCTTTTCATTCTGTTTTCGCGAAGCTTATTTGTTTCTTTTCATTAAAGTGTTATCGTTTGGAACTCCAGAAGCCCAAGTTTTTCTCTACATCTGGCCTAAAATCACTGCAAACAGGCTATAATTTTTGACGATTTGTGTTTTTACTCAAGTCTTCAGACTTCGAAAATTTTCATTTGACTAAAAGTGTCTCAGGTGACGAAAGTTTAAGAAGACTTGTGAATTCAACCCGCTGTCATAAATATCGAACGTAGAACTTGAACCATTGATGAAATACACTCTTTACTAAGAATTCAGCTTCAGTTTGCAGGTCAAACTTTTGTCGGACCTCTCTCTCTAGAATGAACGGATAATCCGTTATAATCTCAGTAACATTAAGGCCAAGATGTCTTGTTGGGAAAAGAGGTGTCGACAGGAATAATTTTGAAAAAATGCAGTCATTTATATTTAAAGGTAAAAAGCGAGATTAGTACCTTATATTTGACTTTTCGGAAATATCATGGGCCCATTTTATTCATCCGATAATATAATTTTTAAAGTTTATGGATCATTTCTTAAAGCGGAAGATATCAGCGTGTGAAACAGGCAGATAATTTTGGAATATAATGCATCAGAGCATACAGGGGATGCTCTGAGGAGATGAATTGCAACAAGGTATCTTCCACTTAAAACCACTCTAGGATTCTAATTTTTCTTATTCATAAACTCTGTCTTAGAATACTTGAACATCGTGACTTGCAGTAAAATCAGGCGTTAGTTACATCACATCTTATTAATCAAAAACGTCAGTTTTACCTCTGGTTCATTAATCTAGAACAAAAATTACGCTTTTTTCTCTCTTTAATTTAAATAACCAGCAAGATAAAATAATTTTATCTTGGGTCTTTTACTTTTGAACACATAATTTATTATTACAGAAGCAAATTAATTTTTTCGCTATTCCTACAATAACTATATGAAATATTTACATGTACATTTATTTCACTTAATTTTTGGAGCTTAGAGTGGTTAGGTATAGAGGTAAATTTAACCTATTTAGACTTCGATTAACGAAAATGAAATATTCTGTTTTTTTGGGGGGAAGTTTAACGGGAAATAAAAGTGTTTCATTTTTGTTTTGAAAGATAATTTATGAAACCTGTACAGTTTCGTAGTCCCTGTAAAGTAATCAAAGAAGTTAGAAAAAATTGCCAAAGTAATTTTACATTAGGATATACAGATACTGAATTTTATATTCTTACCTCCGACCGATGTACATTTGGAAAGAAAATTAAACTATTATTTTTAAATGCATTTCAGTTCACTTCTCATATTAATTTTAATATTTATCTAAGCACCATTTTGTAATAAATAACCTTATTTTAAAAGCTAGTCGAGCTGGTGTGAGAAGCGTGAGTTTTCATAAAATGTAAAATCATGAAAAAGATTAGGAATATTATGAATTTCGAATATCTGATGTTGTGCAACTTCGAAGTCGTATTTGACGTATTCTAAGCTTTAATTTCGATGCCTTAATATTGTGCTGATTCTGGGCGTTTCAGCCACAAATGATCTATTTACAGAGGCAGGGACAAGCTATGAAAACGTGTGACATAAAGTCATGTGTCTACTTAATGTATGGGTGGTTTACGGTTGCTGTAGTTACCACACTAGCAACAAAACGATGCCGCGGTGCAAGTCTACTTATTGCTTAGAACATTTGAAGACATTCAGAATGTCTCTATCCTGTTTTCTCTAAGAGAATTTAATGATGACGAAAGCGCAAAGCCAATTTTCATGTGCTACTATCTTCTGTTCTTTTGAATTGTATGAAATATATATCATTCTAGTGTTTCATTAACTGTGACATAATTTTAGCTCCGTCTGTGGTATACTGAAATGAATGCGCGTTCAGTTTTCAAGCATCACTTCACGTGTCAGTACTTGACAGAATTCATTACCTCAAGTTTACTTGTTACAAACAGTTTAATGAGCAAGTTTCTGAAACAAGAAAACAAAGGCACTTTGCTATGTGGACAACATCAAGGTTTGTTTTATGCTTATTATTAAGTTCTGGTGATTTTTTATACTTTCCTTGCATAATGAATTTTCAGACAATTTCATTTCCAATTTACAGAGGTTTCTTAAGTTTCTTTTCTTGGTATTGCAATATATCACTCTGACAGGTGTAAAACTAAGAAACGTTCTTGACTTTAAAATAAGGAAAAATTAAACTTAAGGTTAATTTTACAAAGTGTACAGTTTACAAAATACATTATTAAAAACTCCGATACGGAATGTTAAAGGGTCATTCTCTAAAATAAATAGGTGTATATTTTCGCCTAAAAGGAGCTTCATCTAAAATGAAAATTCTCATCTTAAATGAAATTCAAGTAAAACCTTAAGTTTTCCTTACTAACCGAAGTTGGTGTGGTGTATTTAATTATGGCAAAGCACACTAGGGCTATCTGCCTAAGGGGAGGGATGCCTTCGTGGAGAACTTTCTAAGGGAAACTGGCTCGTATACACGTTACACATGGGGAAAACCACGAAAACACCCATGCAGCCAGCCCGTTCGCGGGATTCGAACCTCGGACCGAACTACCAGTGTTCAGCGACTTTACCGCTGGGCCGCTGGTGGGCTAACCGAAGTTGGATATTCTAATACAGTTGAATATTTTATCCTTCTGTTAATATTTTTTTTGCACATCATTAAAGTGAAATTAAGTTAATATTCCAAATTATTCTTTTCCTTTGATTAAAAGTGATTAAAAGTGTAAATAAAAGTACCAGTTCTAGAAAGTAAAACGCTTGGATAAATTTAGAACCAAAGGAAATGAATAAGCAAATATTTAAAGTGGGTGACAACTTAATTGAGCATTTAACTTTTAACTTAAATTTGCTGTTTTATAGTATACTGGACTTTTAATTTGTTCTGAAATGAAAAGACTATGTTTCAAAAATCATACCGACTGACTCCTTTTAAATATTTCCAACATAAAAGATTACACACCAGATTCTGAAAAGAATACACGCAAGAAATTTAATATATTGCCTGTAGTAATGTCATTGGTCATCTTCAGTAAAATTGCATCCCTATCCCTTTCACAAAGAGATTATAAAAGAGTGTAATAAAGACTTTTATAAACGTGTCCTGCGAATAAATGTTTAAATAACATTGTATGGCAGCTCAAAATCACCATGCATTAAATTTTATTGTAAATATTTTTACCATATAAATATATAAGCAAGTAATGTAGGGGGGAACACATCCAGACACGTGTATGATAAAGCCCACAATTTAAGGAAACTGACCTAGTTTAAAAAGCCAATTTAAAATGAAAAAGCTCAATTTTTTATTAAACATATTTAAACGCTGTATTCTTAGCTATCAAAAACAACTTTTATTTTCTTTATATGGTGATTAAAAGTGGAAATATACCACTTTTTCTGAGCGACGACAAACCGGAAGCTACTGTTTGCCGGGCCGAAAGTCAAAGTTTAAAAGGCAAATTAAAGATGCAATTTTCACCCTGTTTAATAATATTTTTTAACTAAATAATATTAAGCATTTCACTATGTCTGGAGATTTTGGCAAGTATTTGCATGATGTATTTTCTCATTTTCGTTTGGCATCTTGAATAGTTGTGTATATAAGTCATGTAACGTTAATCTGAAAATTTTAAATGCGTTTTTTTTAATGCTTTAGGTTTAGAGCAACCATGATAACTCTAAAAGTTCATAATAGAATCACTTGAAATTTTGCACACAGAGTTTATACATTATTATACATGTTGTAGAGTAAGAATTAAAGAATTTAGAATAGAATTTGAATTATGTCATTTTTCCAATAGTGTATTCATTTTTTAAAATTTATGAATGTTGACAAACATATTTGGCCATACATTACTAGTAAACCATTATTTTTCATTTATTCTTTTTCACTGAGCACGTTGCTAGCCAGAATATCTAGTATCTCTCTTCCTAAGACAGTAGTATTTCCTCATTCCACTTTTCCTTATTGGCATTCAGACGTGATTCTAAAACTATGTTTTGGCCGGAAGTGGTAAGTTAAAATTAAGAAGCGACAGGAAAGGACGTTTAACTCAAAATTTAATTATTAATAAAATTAACATAATCCTTACAACTTTTATCATAAAATCTAAATATAATATCTTAAAAAGCCACATCTGACTGTACGTAAAGATTCTTTGCCTAAAGCTATGCATAAGTAATAAATAACATAATTGCATCTTCCTGCAATGTAGTAAACATGTTGTTTTCTGATTATCATTTGACGAAAAGATAGACTATCAAGGAATAGAGTATTTTAAGTTGTTGCCATAACCTTTGTGATAATGGGGCTGAAGTTACTTAATTTAAATTTTAACTAGCTCTTTTTTCACACTCAGACAGATTTACGTTCTGAAATATTAGCTTTGCTTCTTTTTTATCTAAGCAGATAATGTGGTAACGTTAAATTAGTTTTCTTTAAAAAAGTCTCTTTGCGATTAGGCTATTAATTATGGCAAAGCTTTCAAAATTTATACACGCAAGGAAAGCAAGTTCCTCTGAAAGAATTCCTAGCATGTAACCTATAAGGAAAATCTTCAGAATTTTCTTCAATAGGGATGCTTCATTTAAGTTAACCAAATAAAACGTGAAGTAACCAAAGAAATTTATCCTTCAAAACGAAGTTTCTTAATAACTATTAATAATAATTATTAGTATATACAGAGTATTCCACGAAGTGTGCATTTTATTTGGGATTGAACTGGATTATATTATTTAAACAAAGCATGTGTGGGCTATATACCTATGCTCTATCCCAGCTTTACCGGAGGACCCAAAGGGAATCATTTTCTTTATTTTTATTTGGGAAAGGGTAATGAACAGACATTTTTAATACAACCCTTATATAACGATGCTGAAAGCAAGAGCTGAAGCTAAGGAACCATGCCAACTAAAGACATGTCGACAGAAATCCTGAAGCAAATTTAAAAACTACGTCTAGCAAATACTTCTGAATTTTAAGTATTTGGACTAGAGACACCATAACCTACTGGATATTAAAAAGATCTAAATAATTAGGTTACATCTTTTTACAGAGAAAATGTGTATTTTGTTTATAAAATAAATTTTCATTACTATATAATATAAACTGAGGCAATTTAATACTCCCCTTTATCATATTTTGTTTCAACAAAGATATGCATTTTTAAAAAAGTTTAAAAAAGTTCTTTTAATTCTAGTAAAAACAAACTACAAAACAACCTTTTTTTGAAAACTTCAAACAGTGAAATTATTTTTTATTTGCTCAAGCACACAATCCCTTATATCTGATAAAGATATTAGATTCTTTAAGATTTTAATTTGTTTATGATTCTTTTGAATTTCATTGTGGAAACTAAACACTCTTTTTTCTCCAAAGGCGTAACTGCTAAATTAAACAATATTACATTTCATGCTAAAAAAATGGCTCCTTATTTTCAAAAACTTATTTTAAAAAAAGGAGGGGGGAAGGAAAAAAGGGGAAAAGTGAAGTGCGATTCACACTTAAAAGATAGTAGCAAGTAACGTATTGCGGGTTACTCTGTATATTTTAAGATAAAAGTTTGTTGAAGGAGAAAGCAGCATAGCGTCATTACGTTCGTTTAATTTGTTCAAGATATGGGGCGCATTTTATGATTAAATAGTGACTCCTCGAGTACACAAAGACAACTAGGCATATACCCAACAAGCTTTTCCATTAAAACTTAAGGCCTGTTTACCGTCGGAGCATTGAGAGCCAATATACATGTCCTACACATTCAACTATTAATTGAAGAGCTTTCCAAAAACATGTAGAGTCCTGTGTTTTCTGGTAAAATAAAAATAATACAACCATTCTGGATATGTAGAATCCGGATAACTGGAATTATGTTGTACTTCTTGGAATTATGTTCTCATATTTTGCTGCTCTAATGTTTTTTTTTTTTTTTTTCCTGCCACCCTGCTCTCCCAGCCTTTCTTTTAAAGGGGAGAATATGTAAGAAAATAAAGAATATGTGAAAAATTAATTAACAGCGTAAATAATTTCCCTTTTCTATTCTAAAAATAGTAACTTCTATTTGCACTGCATCATTTCGAGACTAATCCATGTCATATGACTCTTACATAATTCTGATGAAGTAAATGGAACTAAAACTCAAACAGCCAATAATATAATTTTACAGAAGTATTAACTATCCAATCAAAATGCATTGAAAACCAAAACTAACTCAGTCTAAATTAAGATACGCACTTGATTAAAAAAAATTAAGAAACTTGAAATTAGGATACGCCCTGAACATAACGCACTTGCTTTGTACGCTATGGCCTAGCTTGACTGCTGTCTGTTCCTTCTTTGTTACTGCAGATTTATCTAAAACATAAAACTTTTCGGTATAGGCAGAATTAACGCGTCACCTTGATTGTGGCCGCAACATGTTTACTGAAATAAAAATTGAATTAAATCTACCTTGCCTGCCAAATTTCTTATTCATTATGGATCTGCGTTTCAGCATTTTACGACATCAAAATTCTCGCTGTTCATTACGGATTCAACCGCCTGCGTTCTACTACAGAATCTAGTCTGGCTCCTTTCCTATCCTGCCGGCTCTGTTGTAATAGATTGTTGATTGCCCTAAGAGATATTTGGATTATCAAGTGATTTTGTGATTCTTCAAAAGCTCTTCGCATCTTCTACTATGTAATTCATATTTTCAGTGATCTTCTAAAATCGCGACTACAAAATAATGTCTTTCCTAGTCAAGCACTCATATCATATCAAATTACTGCAAGGAACTGTGCGTGTGTTTGCGTTACAGAAAAGTTTTAAATTTGTTTACTTAAAAAGCAATTATTGTTGGTGTTGTAATGATATACACATACACGAAACAGAAAAAAAAACATACCATCGTGACATATTACAAAATAACAACCTTGTGTTTGGCATAGATTTAGTCAAGAACTCAATCGATTTCAAAAGAAATCTGCAAGAATTTTTGCAGATTCTTGAAGAATTCT